TTTAGAAAGAGGATGTTAGCTTGAAAAGCTACAGGGCAGAAAAAAAATCACTTTTCCAGTTCTAAGATTTTAAAATCCAGTTCTGGATTTTAAAAACCTAGAATAATCCACGGAAGATTTGAGTTTTGAACAAAAAGATTGATATGCGTCTATGCTGTACAGTAATAAAACCAGCAGTTTGATGATTAGGACACTCACCTAAGATGTGAGGCTTTGGGCAAAATCTCTTCTATAAATCAAAAATGTATAGGAATGCTCTGACCCCAGGATGATGTGCTCAGCGTGTTCTCCATTAATCAGCAGGTTTTTGATGAGGAGGTTTGCATATCTTCACTAGTAGTTAAACGAGCCAATTTCCAGTGGATTGAGGACTTTTTCTTCTTCTTCTTCTTTTTTTTTTTTTAAAGGAAAAATTTGCAACTAGCTCTACTTAAGTTAGTCCTGTCTCTTTGGCTGATAAGTGAGGAACCTTAATAGCCATATGAGGGTGGCTTGTTTAAAGCAACTCTGTGTTGCTCTCAACTATAGCATTTAATGCTGAGGAATCTTTAAATATCAGGTTTTTGTCTTTGCATCTGCAGAGTAGTAAAGTTACTAGTAAATCCTCAATTCAATGGATCAAAGCCTTGACAAACCACTGAATTAACTTTATTTCTATCATTATCTGCCAGTGTCTACACAGATAATAATTCCATAAAGACAGAAATCTATGTTAAAGGAAAAGTAAATCTTCCCACTACATTTGAAAAAATAAAAAACATCTGAGCACACAGAGTTGTGTTGGAACCAAAACAGGTTTGAGTAGCTCCACAAAGATTATAAATTAATTTAGTTTTATTTAAATAATACTTAAATGGAATTTAGTGAGGAGGAAGTTCTTGAATGGTGTTTCAAAAGCAGCCTGACAATATAAACTTGAGTTGAACCTCTTTCTAAAAAAAAATAAAAAAAAAGTGTTGCCTACCTTTGTTGCAATTCAGTATAAACTATTGTAAAGTTTCTCTGCTTTATCTCTTTTTTTCACTTGAGAACTTGAGAACTTGAAAAAGAATTCCAAGAACTATTCTTCATTGTTGTGAAACTGCTGTATTATCAAGCTTGATAACCAAATCGCTTCATACCAAGCTCTGTTTTTATATAATTATTTAAAACCTATTACAATTTCCTATCAGAAGAGTTTTGAACATACCATCCTACAGCCAAAGATGACACACCTCTGTGGCCTTCATGACCAGAGTGAGCAGCAAGTATGCCCTACAAATATTTACACCTGAGCACTGGATTCTCCCTCTTCCTTCTGGCTTCTGAGTCTTGTGTACTCTGTAGACTGCAATAGTATAAAACTGCTATTGCAGTAAACGTAGGAAGGAGCATTTATAAGAGAATGAGGTCAGAAATAGGGTTAAAGATGTACTCAGAGTGTTTCATATATAATAAAATTGCATCTCAGCTGTGTAGGAGTCAGAAAAGCTAGAGGCGGAGCCGAGAAAAGATCTGGCTGCTTAAAGTGGACCATATAGGCAGAATGTAGGTATCCAAGTATAAAATTATCTTGGACGCCTGATTATCTTCTGCTAAAAATCTATTAGGTGGTGCTTCATTTTGAAAGTGTAAGAGCACTCAAAGTGTGATTTCACATACAGTCCAAGCAGTTAGGCTTTACAGGACCACTTAGGTGGACTCAAAGGCCCCTGATGGGAGAGAGCTCCTTCAGAGTGCATTTGTGGTGCCTGTTTTCTCTTACAGAAACAACTCTGGAGCCATAGGCCTTTTTGACAGCTTAGGAGTTAAGGCATGAAGCAGGTAGCCAGCTTAAATTCCCATCTCTGGAAAGGCTGGATCTCATACGTGAAAGAATGGCCTGGCCAGCAGATAATACACTACAGACCTATCCCTGTGCTTTGCATTCACAGCTGGATAAGGTAAACAAACTGTCCTGAGGAGGAAGCGTGGGATGTAAAGCTTGTGCCTAGGCAGAGGGCCCCGCAGGGATACTTTTGATTGCATTTTTGCACTTCTTCCTCTGACTCTGGTGCAGTCATTTCTGCGCCATGGCTTAGTTTCAGCAAGAGATTTTGTTAACCAGAGTAGTACCATTAAAGGACTCTCCCAAGAGCCGGGAGCACTCAGTTTGATCCCCTCGAGTCAAGGGGGAGTTCAGTCCAGATCTCAGTTCCCGGGAGAGGACTCTAAACAGAAAGTGCTGTCAGAAAGAGGGTTCTTGCCTACCAAAAGCAAACCACAATGGCACTATAGAAACTACTGATTCCCACTCTGTTCTTTGAAAGACTAGCTGTAGACACTTTTCTCTAGTGCATGGATCACAAACAGCTTCTACTTAAATTAACAGCTTGGTGGTCTTTCCATGGTGCCTCTTGCTTGATCTCCATGGCTGAAACTTCTCTATTGTACATAAATTCACCGTTCATGGAGCTGGAGAGAAGGGCTGTCTCCAAAGAGTGCTCATGAGAGCTTCTGGTGTCAAGGGGATGAGAGGGTTGTGAAACGGGGTGCAGTTTGTGCAGGATAAACCGTGCGACCGACCCCCAGGGCTCACTAAATGACACTTACAGTTGGAAGATGTCAGCGGTGCTTGAACGGCAGATAGAAGAGCAAAAGCTTAGCATCTTTTGAAGCTCTAAACCAAAATGAATTTCTAACTCTCACTTTGCAGTCTCAAGGGTTCTTTCACTTGCATCATTCTTGCTTAAATATTACAATAGTTCTGGCCCTTATCTTCAGCTGCTGTAAATTGACCCGTTTTTACGAAAATTAAAGGAACTATGTCAATACGCATCAGCATTAAAATTGGCTTGCTGTATTAATCTGAAATGCTGTGAAAATGGAATTGGCTCACTCTTCTGTTCTCTTATTGGTTGTGCAATGCTACAAGCATTTACAGTACTCTTTTGGGTCAATAAGTGGGAAGATGTGAGTTGTGCTGACTGAGAAGGTGACATTTGTTTATATAAATGCTTTTCTTATAATTACAGTTCTTTTTCATGCTTCTCAGAGAAGATTACACCAGGAGAGGATGCCCAGTGGAAAAATGTTTCTCTCTCTAAAACTTGAAGACCTCAGCTAATAAAGAACCAGTTAGCATAGGACAAGTGTCATAGGCAAACCAATGTCAAATTGTCAGCAATGTCAAATTGTGCATGCAAAGAAGCCTTTCAATATATAGAATGATGCTATAATTTTTATCTCATCTTTCCCAAAGCTACCTAGAAAATATTTATCGAAAAATGATTTTCCACAGAGAATTTATTTATTTAACCAGTTAATTTGGTGAAATTGTCTCAATTTTAATCATAAACTTCCCAAGGGAACAAAATATAAAGTGCATAAATTAAATGTTGAAACCCTTAAATTAAAATTGGCATTGGAATGCTTTGGAATTTTGTATCCATGCTTACTTTTTTAATTTTATTTTAAGGTATTTTGCTATTAACGTTACACTTCTTCACTGTGTAACAAACACTGTGACATCAGAATAGGGCAGTCAACTCTGGGAAAGAAATAAGTTGTTTCAGTGAGTCACAATTGCATCTTACCTTGCACTGAGATAATACAATATTTAAACCAATATATTACTAGGTAATCGTTGTAGTAATATATGTTTGATATTATGTCATGACGCAATTCAATAGCTGAAAATTATTGAATTGAATCTCAAATTTCTTACACATACTGATACCATAAAATAAAACTATAAAAATATTTTGAAATAAAATAAGTTGCAATGTGGAAAGTGGAGCTTTGAATTTCCATTTCATGAGACATTCTTAAGTATTTATATGCTCCAGAATGAAAAAACTGAAGCATCAAGACTGGCATAAGATGGGAATTCTGAATTTGATCAACTTTTTGTTTTTAATTAAACAAGTCCCACCATTTTCTTCAATAAGTTTTGCCAATTAAAGAACGAAGAACTTGATCCAATATGAAATGTGCTTGAAAAAAGTAATGTCTTAAAATAGCTATAAAGACCAGGGCAGTTATTCCATTTTTGTACCAGTATAAGGGACCTGGAAACTGGCTGTGCCCTACTTTTCTATGAATTATGACTTCTCATTTTACATTTGATCCTTTTTGTGACACAATAACCTTTTCTTATTGAGGTCTTGTTGCCTGTGATACAGTTGTTGACAATTACTGAATCAGGTGTAAAACTACTTTCAAAATAAGAAGGGGACTGTGCCATCACACTTTAAGGAGAACACCAGTAGAAAGTATTGCTTGCTTTTTAATGGAACAATACAGTCCAACATTTTTATTTGCTTAGGCTTTCAGCTGTGAAGCTAGGGGCTAATTTAGTAAGGAAACATTTGTTACTTTTTATATACAGTACCTTGAAAGGATTTTATGAAAGGCATCTTGGAAGTATTTCTGCCTCTACGTTAAATCCTGTTGCTTTGCAGAGATTTTTTTTTTCCTAAAACTAATGCATTTTAATTTAAGGCAAATTATTACCTTCATTTGCTTTCTGCCACTATTGAATACATTGAACTAAATTTGTCAGTAAATCCTTTGTTTAAATAAAATGAATTTTATTTTACAGTGTGGGTAAGCAGGCTTAACTTATTCAGGTTTCTTTGGCTGAATAGGTATAGATTTATATATAATGTATGAGTTCTGTTGTAACTACTGCTTATGCAGTCTCATATCTTGAAATAATTAAAAGAAACAAGCATCTTTACTGGAACTAAGTATTCACTAAGCTCGGTAATTTAAATCACAATTACAGCGTACGAATATGGTTGATCATACGCCTTTTCTCAAGCTGGCATGTCTTTAATGGAACTGGTGTATTTGTACTATGCTTGCTTATTAAACAAACACAAAACGTTAAAAGAACATTAATGAGGTTTCAGAATGAGCTACTTGCAAGTTAGGAAATTAAAGAATGGATATTGACTATGGAACCTTAATTCAGCTGATTGAGCATTTATTCTGTATTTTGCACAGGACTGCCTGCTTCAGTTGGTGTTCAGAAGACATAGGCGTCACTTAATGACCTGCTGTTCAAACTATGCTCTGCGGACAACATTAATAGCCTTCCCTGCAATTGCTGTGGTATTTATCCTTATGATTTAAATGTTAATTAATTGGTTTCATAGCATAACTTCTGAGGTGAAGGAGTGACATTCATTTTGCAGAGATGTCAGCATTACCACTAAATTTGGCTACCCAGTTTAAGGTGCTCGGACCAGACTTTTAGCGTAATATCATGCTCATGCATTCAAAGTACAACTTGAGTGACTTCCGCGGCATCTGTGACTTCCACACTCTGCAAAGCAGAGTTTGTTTATGTTGGGTTTATAATCTTGTGTTAAGAGCGCGAAGGTCTCCTCTTTCTGTTTTCCCCCCTCTCAAAAAACCCGAGGGCGGCCCCATCCTTGCTGCCTGCTGGGAACGGTCTCTGGCCATGCTGCCCCCAGCGGCGCCTGGGCACCGCTGGCAGCGCGTGGGGCATCGAGCACCGAACCTACAAGGAACGGCGCTCACGGCCTTGTGTCACGGGACAGCGCTTCGGCTCCTGCTGTGACCCTGGGAATTTGGATATATTTCATATTGGCACAGCCACAGGACCTCGACTGCAGTGTCCAGGAAACTGGGCTGCGTTTATAGGAAGGCAGCGGCAAAGGGAACAGTAAAGTCTCGTTATCCAGGGCAGCTTTTAGTTGTTTTAACCATAGCTTAGCCTGTCTCATGCCTCCTTCTCACACAAATACTCTACTTCATTCACTCTGCAGTTCTATGAGACCAGGCTGCACTGAATGAGGTAGGAAAAAAAGTTAGGGATTTTTTTGTTGTTGTTTTTTGGCCTATCCTCACACAATGGGGACTAAATATGGGGGCTAAATAGGGACAAATAGCTTAATGCGGATATGTCCTAACTCCTAACTCTGTTTCTCTTTGCAAGAATAATAATGTTATTTCACCAATAATAATATTATTTCGACATTTTTGCTGTGATGATGGAGATTGTCTGCTGTAACCACTGTGGGTTAGAAAGGCAGTGAAACAGGGCTGTCAGGAAGCATGTAACATTTCTATTTCTCCGGCTTATAATGTTTTGGCCCTAATCTAAGTAATGGTTAACATAGCTACTCACAACCGTAAGCCCTGGTAGCTTAATTATCCAATTAATTTTCTGTCAGAGGTAAGGATGTAAATATATTCTGACGGACATAGACAGGAAATAACCTGCTTTATTCAACCTCCTGACCTAGACTTTAACAAAAACACTAAAAATGATCCAGAAGACATTTTACAGTTTTTTCAAGCTGTGCAACTTATATTAACATACATGAAATGAAGAGTATAGGGAATGACATTCAGGTTTTTTAAAATGTCATGTTAAATGTCATAAAATGTCATAAATCATTACTCTTTTCAGGTTTCTGACTAGTAAACTGGAATTACTGAAGGAACTTTTGTTCAAATTCTTTTTCCCATAACCAAACAATGTAGTGGGCTTTGATTTCTTTATCAAGCAATCATGCCGGTGTGATTTGGATTGAAGGGAAATTAAATTTGACGTCCTTTAAAAATGTATTTCTTATCCCTTTTCAAATGCATTGTACATCAGCACTGCAGGGGATCACCCTGATAGCTGCTGCCTCTGGGTTTTTTTTGTCGTCTTTGCCACAGATGCAAGTTCATTAGAAGCCCTTTGCATCCTATAAGCATTGAAATCGCTGGTTTAATTTTTAACTTGTGAAGGTGTGAGAACCAGTAGGGAAATAATAAACCAGATAGAAAGTGGTTACACTGTACTCATTTTAGCACAGGAGTGGAATCAAGCTTGAACACAGGTTGTGAGATTGTAATCTACTTTACAAAAAATAAATCTTTATGCAACTATAAAAATGGACATCAGCCTGAGAATGGCGTTAATGTTTAACACAAGGGGGAATGTGTTTCCCTGATGCTCTACTTAGTTCAAACAATTCCTTCATACATCATAAACCTGCAAGTAATGGCTGTCTTACCTGCTTTGTTTTGGAAACTGTAAGCCAGGTTGCAGCTTCAAAAGGGAACTTTGCTTCTCTGAGGGAACATGAGGTCCAGACATCCCCCCAAGCTGGCAATGAATGCCATAGCAGTTTTTGTCCATAGGCACAAACTACATTTATACCCGTTAAACTTGATGTGCCTAAACTGAAATGGAGAGGAAGAGGCATGTGTCAAAACCTCCAGAGAGCAATTTGCCCCACTGAAGAAGGATACCTCTGTCTTCTCGCTGACTACAGGGAGCCACCAGGTACCTGTGTCCGTTTTGGATCCAGGGCCACAAAAATGTGGTGGCAGTTCTTCCCAACTTGCTCGTTTTAAGAGATTTACTCTTTATATTAGCATCGATGAGCACTTGATCCTCAGGCGAAGTCGGAGGTTGTGGAAAGCAGCAGTAAATGTCCACAAGCCATTGAATGGCAGTTAGTTTGGTCGGAAAATTGAATGAAGATGGGTTAAATTTTGTGCTGAACGGAAAAAAATGAGGAAATACATTAGAAAAACAATTATTCTGGAAGGATTGGGGGAAGGGAAAAAAATAAGGTGCATACAGTTTTTTGGTGCAATTTTTCAGAACACTGAATAGGAAGTAGAGTCCCATTGAAGTCTGGTGGTACTGTTGCTCCACAGTCATTTAGAAGTTTTGAAAGTGTTAACCTTTATGTTTCTAACATACTGAAAATATACTGTTTGGGTTCATCTTTTCCACGCTTTCTTTTATCTCTGAAGCAAATTTTTTTGAGAAGTACTTTGTAAAAATCTATCTTGCCTTTTTTGAGATAAGTGTGGGGAAGAGAAACAGGCTTCGCTTACCAGGAGTAATAAGCACCTTTTAAAATACAAATAAGCTGGTTAACTTAAAAAGGCTGTGGGGTTTGGCATTTTGTTCAAAAAATTCAAACACCATATATAGCCATACATGTTTGTGTGTGTGTATATGTATTTATACATCCATCACCCATACATATGTATGTGTATATATATATACACATACACACATATATATAACTATATTCATATGTGTGTGTATATATATGTGTACACACATGTATTTATTGATATATAGCTTTAAAGTTTAAAGGTTAGCCTGCAAATAGGATCAAGATGCTCTAGCTGACCCTGCTTGAGCCAGGGGGGGGTTGGTCTATATGATCTCCAGAGGTCCCTGCCAACCTTGACCATTCTGTGATTCTGTGAACAAATTCTGCATGGGGCTGAGTGGAAAGTGCAGAACAGGTATTTCCTGGAAAATGGTGATGCTCTGGTGTCTCATGTATGTACCTAGAACCAGGCCAGGTATGGCCTCAAATGAAGAGTAGAGATTTGGGTATGAAGCAAAAAAAATTGAGTTTGTTTTGAAGTATCAATGTTATAGAAATTGTTTTGAAAAGCATACTATAAATATTTTTTTGCTGGAATAGATTCTTTCCAAATCAGGATAATCCTTCATTTGATGTTACAGGCTTATGTTTCTTCTTAGATTTTGCATTGTCACAGTTTGCTGCACCGTCCATAGCCCAGCTGGTAATTTTTTTTTTATTGATTCAAGCTGGAGTGCACTTTTACATTATATTGTCCGTTTATTTTTAACAGAACTCTTGCACATAAATAATCTGCTGTGTAGATACTAAGATGCATTGTTAGTGTTTATTGCTGGAAGAGAATATAAAGACTTGTGCAAGGTATATACAAATATATTTTGTGCAAAGTAAGGCTCAGATGTTCTCTGCCCTTTATTTGCATGGACAGGAAAGAGTAAAAGTCACCACCTGCAGAGGAGTCCTAGGCTGAAGGTAATAAGTGAGAACTTGGTATTGACGTTGCTGGATAAGACTGCCCTGGAACTGGATAGAAGGCTCTAGAGCAGACTTATTCATGACAGATTACTTGACTCATCCCTTTTCTGTTTCCATTTCTTTCTTTTTTTTTTTTTTTTGCTGTGCTATTGCTTAGAGAGTCCTGAGCTGAATGTGAGACTGTTCCAATTCTCTTTGACAGATATAAAGTCTGTTTGGCAATGATCCTTAACCCTCTTCTTGGGCCTATCTGTGCTTATTTCAGCTAGATTTGATGAATGAGAGAGCAAGTTTAGGTCCATTTTAAAGTAACTAGTATACTCCATCTCTCTGACTATATCGATATCTTGAAGGACTCTTTTATTTTAGGCTTGCCTGTTAACAGTGTGGGTAGTGAGTTGTTCTGCTGTTGACTCAGCTGCGTGCTGTGCTTACCTGTTTTTGAAGACACAAGACACCACTAAGATTTCATTGCTCTTTTGTGGGAGCAGAAGCGCCAGAAATTTCCTTTCTATCCTCCAGTTTGAAACCTAAAAAATGTGGAAACTGAAGGAACGAGGGACATGTTCCCATAGCTTTCCCCTGAGCAGGAGAATTGGCTGACCACACACACACACGGTGAGTTGTCTTCTGCAAAAGCATGCTAAAAGGTGTCTTTGCATCCTTGGGTATTCCAGGCTGCATGGTATGACTACGTGTTTCTCCGCTCAGAGAAGGGATTATTAAAAGGAGGAGGGATGGAGGCATCAGAGTGAAGGGACAAGATGTTCAAATTCTCATCTGTATCTGAACACTCTAGAGACCTGCCTTGGAAGCTCCCACACTGGTACCCCTTTTAAGAGGAATGAGCCTAAGGAGTTGTGTTCAAACCGAAATGCCAATAGGAGAATATATAGTTTGGTGGAGATGTAGTTGGTGAAATACACCGTAACGAATCCCCAGTGCTGAGAGGGGCAAGAGTCGCTCAAAAGTACTGAAGAAACTCAAATGTGAAATGGCAGAATTACTAAGCATAATGTGTAGCTGTATTGCTTCACTCAGCCTCAGTACTAGAACAGAAGCAAAGGTGTGTTCACCAGCCTTAAAAAGGGCTTTAGGAAGATCAAGGGAGAAGCACATCATTAAGACTGGTTTCCATAGTAGGCAAATTGTTTGAAAAGTTAACAAAAAAAGATAGAAGAATTCATTGAAACACGTGAAAATATGATATAATAGAATTGACTTGTTTTTCTGCAGGGAAAAGTTATAGTTTACAGATCT